AGATTACTTAAAAAAAATAATTAAAAAAAAAAAAACACAAAGGGTTAAGGTGGTCAATTTGACATTATGTATTCTTTAGCACCATTTAAAAATTAGAAAAAGTTCAGGGCCTTAAAAAATTTACAAAATACCATTTACAACTGTTTCCATTTAATACTCAGCACAGTAGTATGTCCAAGTATTATAATCTACTTTCTTCTGACAACATGTCTGTAGGTCAATAAATATAAAACTACTGTTAATACATTTGTTGATAACCTAAGGGAAACAAAAAACCCAAACAGGAATCAAGTTTTCAGTACTTTACCTACCAACATTAAAAGAAAGCCTGGGGGCGTCTGGGTGGCTAAGGTTGGTTAAGCGACTGCCTTTGGCTCAGGTCATGATCCTGGAGTCCTGGGCTCCCTGCTCAGTGGGGAGTCTGCTTCTCCCTCTGACCCTCCCCCTTTTCATGTGCTCTCTCTCATTCTCTCTCTCTCAAATAAATAAAATCTTTAAGAAATAAAAGAAAAAAAATAAAGCCTGTATTTTGTACTGAGTACTAAATAGATACTGCTTGCATAAAAGGAACAAAGTAGCATTATTAAAGCTCTACCTGAATTTGCTAAATTCACAAACATTTCTTTATACTGAAGAATAAAGTTGGTTAAAATTATTCTCCCTAAGATTCATTCAACTTGATCTTGTCTTAAAAGCCACTATTTTTTAATGAGGTTAAAACTTGGCATTGAAAATCCTTAAAAAATTAAACACATATTGTATCTCCTTTTAGGAACTGCTCAAGGATTGTCTTCATCAAGGGCTCAGGGTAGTAGGTTAGGAACCGTTCTAAGTCCTTTCAATTCTTTTGAATATATACCCTGGAGTGGCTCTCAAAAGATCAGCATTATTCGAAACCCTGATGAACACATGTGAAAAATACATGGGTCACATTCTGCTGCAATGATACACAATTTAATGAGGTGTTGCTATAATTTCTAAGGAAAAGATTGACTAGAAGCTACACAATTGTTCCATGATTGTAGAGATATCAGCAAATGGTACTGATTATCAAAATTAAATATGTAGAAGGATTTCTATACACAAGGGCAAGGAAGTTTTTACTGGGATGTCCAAAGTGCTCGAAGAAAACGTTCACCAAGAGTCATTTTTTCTCAGCTACTTTCACCTTACGGCCGTCCTGCAAATTCTGTTAGTATCCTAATTACTAATACCTCAAAGATGTTTTATTTTTAGGTATACTAACTAAATTAACACATGCAATATAGACATTAAAAATACTCCTGGGATTAGTTATGGAAAATCACATATGTTTATGTACGTTCAGGGAGTAGGTGTGGGGGTATCTAAATAAATATATATGTACCCACATTTAGATATTTAAGAAAATTATTTGGAAACTTACATAAATGTTTTTAGATGCTCTATAAAAACAGTATCTTCTGTCCCTTTCATCTAGCTCACCTTATCTCATTTCCTTCAGTAATAAGATTATAATACAAGTATTTAGTACTGTGGGCTCTACATATCCTTGCATAGAATGTGAAAGGGAAGTTACTATGTAAAAACACTGAGGTTACAGAATAAAGGTATTGCACAGAAAAGAGGCAAACACAAAGTACTCTTAGAAAGAAAACACATGAGCTATATTTAGTATTAAATATTTCAGACATCCAAAATTCTTGATAATCTATCCTTTTTTGAATAAGAAACATTTAGTATTTAAGTCAGCAAGATAAAGTCTTAAGAAAAATACCTGTGGGAAGAGGTTTTCTTCTAATTAAACACTTTACTCAATCATTTTCATTTGAAAATTGTGGCTTCCTCAATTATTTTAATGCTAGTGTCATTTTTATGTGCCAATTCAGGATATAAGCACTAGTATTACTCCATGCATCCTTAGTTATTCATCAAATAAATTGAGAAGCATTATCCCTCCCCCTTCTTGAATTAACAAAACCTAACATGCAAAAACAGCCTAATCCCCAGGCTCTTCTCTTGGTCAAAGTGATAACAGCACAGCAGGACCACCTTCAACCTCAAATATTTTGTAAGCTTTACAGACAAAAACTTAACTGGGAAAAGGAAAATACAGGTTTAAATTACAAATGTCCTCAGCCTCTCCATGAAAATCAGCTTTTCTAAGGAAGCATCCTAAGAAATATTTTTAATAGGTGGCAAGAGGTAAATGCCTTGCCCACTCATAAAATGTGATGCAGGGAAACAGGAAATTAATAGTTCTTCTATACACTGACAACCTGACAACCAAATAAGAATAACCAAATAATAGAAAGTTTCAAACTTGTCTTTGAACTCAAAAATACTTAGATCAAAACGTTAACCAATAAGCCTGTACAGCACTACATATAACAAAGAAATATAAAAGAAATCCATTTTATAGGAACAAACTGAAAAGTTCATGGCAAACCTACCTAAATTACAAATGTTGCAAAATAAAACAGAGAAGAAAAACAAAGATTTATGCGGTAAGAAAATATATATTTACTGAATTAAGCAATGGAGGTACACAATTCAGTCGAAATAGAACAAAGTGAATCTGAATTGCATGTACTTTAAATGCCATGGGATTTATATTCAACAACCTCCAAAAATGTTTAGGTGCTGAATAGTTAGCACTAAGTAAAACATAAACATTTCTAAAACAAGTGAACAATTCTGCTTCTTCCTATATAATACAACCAAAAGTTGTAGTCACAGGAAGAATTTCCCTGAAATTTGTCAAACTCATGAAAACTGTGGCTCATGGAGTTTGGGAAAAGCACAAAATGTATTCCTAAATGTATCCTTGTGGCAATAATGTTTCTGCACTCTCTACAACCTAAACATTGAACTTGGGTTTAACATTCCTTTGTTATGTGTAACATTACACATTTATCAGTATCTTTTATTTTCCTGGCCAGCAATCTCAAAAGTTGTAATGGACTACCTTGCATTATTTCATAGTGAACCATAATGGAGTGGGGGCAGTGGGGGGACAGAGAGGATAAAGAGAATTCTTTTCCAAAAGTCTGGAGTCCAAAAATAATAACCACCTCTGGACCTGCGATTTAATTCAGAAATGAATTCAGAATTCTTTCTGCATAGATGCTTATTGTAGATGCTTCAACTGCTGAGAAACCTTAATGTACTCAGTTATTTGCACTCCAGTGAAAATCTTACCTTTCAGAATAGCTATAAAATATGGTTAAAATAAACCCTGATAAAACAAACAGAAAATTTTCTTCTGACGTTTTTAGTAATATAGAAATGATGACCACTAATCAACTAGTGTCTGTCAGTCACTGCAGTAGTTGCACAATTGCCTGTGGGTAGAGTATCACAGAAACAGTGTGGTGAAGCAGGATGTTTTCCCCTTTTAGAACCTGAGTGAACTTCAAGGGATTAACACCAAATTCATGTCAATTCTACAGCACAAAATTCAGACCCTTAATTCTGAATACAAATACATTTTAAAGAGAAAAAAAATGAGGGCTTTAAAACCATATTCGTAAGGTCAGTTTCACTTTTGTATTATGTGCATATACTGTACTTTAATCTGAAATGTTTCATACTTGTACTTCATGTTATATAGGTTTTGGACTTGACTGTGTTTTTCCACAGAAAGAAAAATCAACTGTTTTTCCACCTTAATATTCAACCTACCTGCCCATAGTTGTCTATGCCAGTTACTAATCTATTTAAATTTAATAAATCAAAAGCTGTCCTTAAGGATTGGCCAAGAGTCGTAAGTCCTTCAGCCTGAAGGTTTTTCAGTTCATTCATAAACGTTGCATGGTTTTCTTTCCATCCGGCCTGAAAAGAAAAACGTAAGAGGTTTTTTTTCATCCTTTAAAGCCATGTACACACGGACAGCCGTTACAATCTGCCGTTCACCAAGGAGCTGCTTCACTTTACAGTATGGTTTGGTTAAAGTGTTAATACCGTAGTATCACTGCCGAGGAAAACTCTCTTCAAAGGTGGCCAAGAAAAAAACCTGCTTGCTTACAGCTATTGGTGGCTAACAGCCTTAATACTTTCTAACTTCCCTGGGAAATTTACTTCCTAACCTACTACCCAAAATTTGGGCATGCAAAGGTACTAGTGGAACACAGAAGTGAGCAGGACTTCTGAAGTTAACCTAGAGCTGGCCCACTGGCCCGCGGCCCTGGGAGGAAAAATCCGAGCACCTCGCCCCGCAGCCCCCACAGCCGGCTCGCTCGCCGCCCCGGGGAGGAGCGGCGAGCCCCGGGCCGAGTCCCCTTTAATGCAAACCCGGGCTCGGCGCGGCCGGGCCCGGCTGTCACTCGGGCTAACTTGAATAAATATCCCCCACAGTTCATTGCTGCCGCTCACGCCGCGGAGGGGAAATGTCGGCCATGTTGATCGCAGCGCCGCCGCCGCCGCCGCCGCCGCCACCGCCGGGCCGGGCTGGGGAGGGGACGGCGGTGGCCCAGCGCCTCCGCGCCGCGCCAGGACGCTCCGGAGCGGGGGAGGGGGTGGGAGCCCGCAGGGGAAAAGACCTCAGCGCCCGGAGCACAGCGGGTGGGGGAGGGGAGCATAATGAAGGGTGAATGGGGGGGCGGGGAGGGCGAGCGAGGAAGGAACAGGGAAGGGAAGGGGGAGGGCGAGAGCTGTTACCTTGATAGCATAGGGCGGCTCTTCGAAAGTGACCAGCATATACCTGTCTCCTCTGCTGGCAGGGTCCCGGGCACGGAGCTGCGGGAGAGCGGGTGGGGGACGGGAGGAGGAACAGGGTGGACGAGAGGGAAGCACAGAGGCGAGGTTACGAGGCGAAGGGGCGCCCAGCGGCCCCGCCGTCCCCCCCCCCACAGTACCGCACACGCAGCGGCCACCCCTCCACACTGCCCCCCCCACACAGATCGGCCCCCACACACCGCCCGGGCCCGGGCCGAGCCCGGCTTGCAGCGCCCGCCCGCGCGGTGGGGGAGGGGGACCCCGAGCCCGGCAGCTCCCGCAGTCAGGTCCGCGACACCTCCGCCTCGCCGCCCCCGGCCGCCCTCCCCCCCCCACCCCTGCCGCCCGCGGGCCGCCGGGCCCCGGTCTCCGCCCGGGCTCGGTCAGTCGGTACCTTCATGAAGGTCTCTACCGCGCCTTTGGCCGTGTCCAGGTAGGTGGTGCCCAGATGGCTGCGCTGGTTCATAGAGGCAGACGTGTCTATCAGGAACAGTAAGATGGGCATAGTGCTGGCCGGGGACACCGGGGCCCGAGGTGGTGGAGAAAGAGATGGTAGAGGTGGAGGCGCCGGTGGCGGCGGCGGCGGCGACCGCCGCTACGCGGGGCGGGGGAGCGCGGCCCCCGGGAGGAAAACACCGTCTGGGTCTTTCCTTCGGCTGCGGGGAGTTTCTCCCCCGATAGTTGAGAGGAAACTCCCCAGACCCAGTCCTCCCCGTCGTACCCCCGCCTCCGCCTCCTCCTGCCTGCCTGCCCGCTGGGGCGGGCGCCCGGCCGTCTGTCTGTCGGTCGGTCGGTCCGTCCCCCCCTCCTCGGGGGTCCCGTCCCCACTCCCGGCCCCTGTGTGTGTCCCAGCGGGAGACGGGCCTGGCTCCCCACCCCACCCCCGGTGCAGGGAGTGGGGACCTGGGAGCTGGCGAAGAGGGGAGTGGGCTGAGGGGAGATTGGCCCTGGGGCTGTTGGGAGAAGTTTCAGGGACTCCCTCCGCACCCCGGCGGTGTCACCACTTTCTCAGCCCCTCTCGCTACTGAAGCGCTTTTCTCTCTCACACTCCGGTTTTAACTCGGGCAGGGTCTGCAGAGGCTCCGCCCCCTGACACGTCCTCGAGCCACGTGACGCACCGCCCCGCTGTTCTATTGGCTAAGCCCAAGCTTCTTATTAGCATATTCAAACAGCTCAGGGGCGGGGGAAGCTTGTAGGCCGGCTCCGGGAACAGTTATTGAGCACGCGCGGAGGCGGGGAGTCGGGTGCGCGCGCGAGCGAGCGCCAGGGACGAGCAGGCGGGCCAGCAGACGCGGAGGCGGGCTCCGGGAAGGGGCGGGGACGCACCGCGGAAAGACGGCGGGGTGGGGGCGGGGGACGCGGCGGCGCGCGCAGAGCGGCCGCGGCTGTGAGTCTGCGCGTCAGTGCCGCTGGCCTCTCCTTGCCTTTTGGAGGTGATAGGGGTCGGGGGGAAGGGAAATGGAGCCTGGCCTGAGATCCCCTCGCGAGGTCGCTTTATCGAACCCCCTACCCGTTGGGCGAGTGAGGAGGGTATAAGTAAAGTAATCAGATACCCGATCAGAAGGGGTCAGGCCCCGCGCTCTTCCTTCCGCGGAGAGCTCCGGCCCTGCGGTCGCCGGAGGAGGTTCCTTGGGCCTGGGAGGGCCTGCCCCACGGCGGGCGGGCCCGGGGCTGGGGGGAGGGGAAGTGAGAGGTTGTTTGTGACCGGGGACTAATCTCCGCCAGTCCCACCGCTCCGGGTGAGGAGTGGGGACGAGGGTTCGGCTTCGCCCGCAGTCTCCCTCGGCCTTGGGGAGCGACCTAGGGGGAGGGCTGGACCCGGAGCAGACCAGGAGTTCTCCAGGTGGAGGACCCAACAAAAAGAGAACTAAGCCTCTATTTTCTTAACTTAGCCCTAAAAGGGCATGAGGGAAGACTCAAATATCGATAAACAGTTTGTTGCCCTTTTTATTCTCAGGGAAAAATAACCGATCCTATCCAAAGAAATACCTCTCTCAAGCCATGTTTTTTCTTAGGGCCCAAGAATGTCAATTTCAGAGCTAAAAGTGACCTTAGAAAACTGAGAACACTTAACTCGTTTTTATATGGAAAAACTGATTTCAGCTAGCTCAGGTGACACACACAGTGGGTTCCCCATAAACCCTGCCAGTGCTCTTTCCTTTCACTATATGCTGTCTCTAAGACTGGTTCCAAATACAGTATGAGGGAGGACGTTCTTGGTTAAAAGAACCCCTGTCACCATGCCCGAAGTAATGAATCCTCTCCCTAAATGTCCGAGGAAAACTTCACTCAAATATACTAGTTGAAAAACTGAAGACAGTACCTGAACTACAAATTGTGTTCAAGACATAGAACCCTTATAAAGACTGTGGAGATCTCTATAGGGCCTCTCCTGCTAGCATTGCATTTTGATTTATTTTTTTTATACTGAAATTCTTAATTATTTGCTGCCTGATGATTTAATGAAATTGTTCCTACTAAGCTTAACACAAAAGAGACATGTTTTATGGCACTTTTTTAAAAATCTTGAGTTTACATTGCATAACTTGGACTTTTCCTAATACTTAGGACAACCTCTGAACTTCTTGTTAATTTATAGTGGGGCTATTTCAGTAATAAACTGTTCTGTGAGTATGTACCATAGAAGAGTGACATATTTTTAAGAGATTTGGACTACAAAATAAAATGGAATACAGGTCTTATATCCAATGTTGCTGAGGACTGGTGGAGTTAAAAAACGATTAAAATGTGTGCCCTGCCTTCAAAGAGCTTATGGTTTTTCTAGAAGAATATTACGTATATATTATCAGCTACTACAAGGCAGAGAGTGATTAGATACTAAATAATTCAGAAAAGAGAAAAATGTATTACCCTTGAGTGATGAACATTCTCCAGGGACAGTATAGTCATGTTCCTTAAAGCCGTGTTTCTCAAACTGAGATCTTAGATCTGGAGATTAGATCAGAGTTCTTTGATACTTGAAAATTTGTGTTATCATCTTAATGACAACATACAAATTGTTTTACCAGTTATAAAGACAAAATTTTTCTTCCAAAGTTATAATTTGCAACTGAAAGATTTTCATGGAACTGGTCTTCAGTTTTCTGTATCCGTGCTTTTCAAACTGGTCCACAGACCCCTGCCTATCCAAACATGTATTCTCTAGAATGACAAGAATTTCCTTTGCATTACTCAGGTTTGAGAAACACTGCTTCAAAGGATTGGTAGGATTTGGATATGTGAGTAAAGGAAGAGGAAGCTGCTGGTGAAAAAGTCCTTTTAAGACATTGAAAATACAGTGAAGAAAGGAGATTAGCACAGCATTGCCAATGGCTTCCTGGGGAACAGTGAAGTTCAGCTAGGCTGGAGCACTAGGAATGTGAAGAATAGAGTAAGATCCAGAAAGGTAGGTCAGATCTAGACAGGAGAGGGCCTTTATTCCAGACTACGGATTTTTTTCCCATATAATTACTAAGTACAAAGCAGTGTTTGAAGGGAATCAAACTCGACTACTGAAGTAGAGGACCATGCATTAATAATGACCTTCCCTGGTACAGTTATTTGAAATTTCCAATAGAGACATCATGGCTCTTCCCTGACTCAGTGGAGTTGGCAGACTGTCATAAGTGGAGGTGCATGGTAGAGACAGGGTTAGATGCAAAAATCAGGGGGGCCAAGTCCAGTGAGCCAACCTGGAGCATATAACCAGAACCTGTGCTTATTATGGCACCTGAGATTGAAAGCCAGGTTTCCAGTTCAGAAGCCCAGAAGTGCTCCAAGGCATGGCCCTGAGGCAGAACAGGAAAGAAATCAGGACATAAAAAGGCAGCAAATCAAGAGGCAATCAGAAACCAGGAAGCATTGACGAGTGGTCCCTAGACAAAATTGTGAAATAGGCCAAGTTTATTCTTAGTGACTCTGGTTGACAATGAAGCTCTTGGTTGATGATGGCTTAAAGCAGTAGTTCTGGACTAGGAGATGCACATCAGCATTGCCCGCAGAGTTGAAAAATAATAATAAGTGTACCAAATCCTCATACCCAGAGGAAAGGGATTCAGTAGAATTGGGATGGGCCTTGGTTATCTCATTTTTTAAAAAGCTCTTCAGGTGAATCTTATAAATAAGAGTGATTAAGAACTATATGCTTCAAGCATAAAAATAATGTATATGTCTACATCTAGTAGTAGTAACTTTAAAAATTCACATACCCTTAGAGATATTACATTTCTTTTTTTTTTTTTTTAAAGATTGTATTTATTTATTTGAGAGAGAGAGCACATGAGAGGGGGGAGGATCAGAGGGAGAAACAGACTCCCCGCCGAGCAGGGAGCCCGATGCGGGACTCGATCCCGGGACTCCAGGATCATGACCTGAGCTGAAGGCAGTCGCTTAACCAACTGAGCCACCCAGGTGCCCGAGATACTACATTTCTTAAAAGAACTTCTAAAATAAATCTGCAAACTAAAGCGGAAAAAAACTATAAATGTATAGGTAACTGGATTTGTATCATATGCTTATCTAAATTGCTTGAATTCATCCATTTTTGACGAAAATTAAAAAGAGAAAACTAAATAGTGTCAGAGATTTCCACTGTTCCCTTCAGTGAGTTTAGGCCTCAAAAGAAGCATGAAATGGGAAATATGAATCTCTTCTTCACTCAATCTCTGTGATTCTAGAGAGATTCTGGTTATAGGCAGGCTTATTTTTCTGAAACATGGCCCCTACATGCAAGCCAACTATTTCATCAGACTCAACTGAAAAAACAGTGAGCTCTTGCAATGCTAGAGGGAAAATGAGTTGAAGTCGTATGTGCTAAACCCTGTGCTGTTGCAGTCTAGGGGATTAGGGAAGATTTCCCTGGGAGGACATTGGTCAGAAGAGGTATGTGGGAGAAAATTTGCTCTTTGTTGCTGTTTTTAAAGGAGCTCTGCCTAAATGCTATGGCTCCCATCTAAAAGGGAATGCATAAATTATATGAAAGCCTCTGAAGGAGTGAGTGGTGACTCTGGCTTAAACAATAGCCTAAATTGTGGAAATGGGACTATTTTAACAATTAAGAACTGATGAATTAGGTTCATTTGTAGGAGCCAACCAGAGCCCTTTAAATTATTTTAAACCAATTAAGCAGGATAACACGGTTTAAAAATAATTATGTGCCAAGAACTTGGCTTATGGTATCTAGATGTGCCATCTGAACAGAGTAATCAGATGAACCCAGTGTTCCTCATATGTAACCTAACAAAAGTTTTTTTTGGCTGTCTTACTATTTCCTCAGCTCTCTGCTTTACTCTGAGATCACAGTAGCCAATGATGTTGACAGGTTGAGAACATTAAAAAAAAGACTAAGCATAAAAATTTAGATATGAAATTATGCAGCAGAATGTATTTGGATATAACATACATAAAGAGATTGAATTTTGGTCATCCTATTAT